CCGATGATGACTGTGACCACAGGCGCCATTGGCCGCACGCTGTCCTCTGCCACGCCGTCCCCAAACAGGTCCGCGCTGTCCCCAGGCATGTTCTTGCCGGGGGCCACCGGGGTGTCATCTGGAAGCAGCACCCCTGGGCTGGATGCGCTGGCCTCTCGCGGCTGCCTTCCTTCTCCCGACCTGGCCGCCTGTGCCCTGACAGGACCTGGCTCAAGTGCCAACTCCTCCAGAAAGCCTTCCGAGATTGCGCCTCCCGGACATTTGACTCCTAACACTTCCTGGGTCTCTTGCCCCTTAACTGACGCGAGCAGCCAGAGGGCCTGGGGGTTCATGGTGTGCTACTCCGTATCCCCCACCCCTGGGCAGAGCCACCTTGCTGACAGCAGTGGGGGAACTGGGGTCCACAGCTGTGCCATGGGAGTCAGACCCAGCTCCCTTCCGGTCACTCCCCAGACCTGCCATGCTAGGGCGGGAGCGCCATCCGGGCCCCCTGGATCTGCCGCACTGGGGCCGCAAGCGCCATCAGGGTCTTCCGGTGCTGGCCGGGAGCACCCGGGCCACCCATGCAGGCTGAGTCCAGAGCAGAGCTGGGGAGGGACCCAGGACCTGATGGGGGAAGCGGGAGCCCTCCTGGCCTCCCCTGCCCTGGAGTCCCGCACACAGCGCTCACGCCTCCGGCTCTCAGGCTCTCGGGCTCTTGGGCTCTGCTCGGCCGTTGAGCGCTGGGCGCCGTCGCTGGGGGCCGCGTCCAGTGGGGACCTCGGGACCCATGTTTGGTGAGGAGATTGAGACAGGGGCATCCTGGGTCAGACTGGATTCGGATCCAGCTCCCTGCCCATGCGCTCCCTGGGGGCAGCGGTGAGGGCTCAAGTGCCGGGGGCCCTGCACCTGCGTGGGAGACCCAGATGGAGCTCCTGCTCCTGGCTCCAGCCTGGCCCAGCGCCGACTGTTGTGGCCATGTGGGGAGTGACCCAGCGGATGGGATGCTTGCTCGCTCTCTCTCTCTCTGACTTTGCGTTTCAAATAAATCAGAAAAGCAAATGAAAACCTAGGAAGAGTGCGATTGTCAGAGAGGATCTGTTTACTGCTCTCCGAAATCCTGGAGGGAAGTCCCTCCTGCTTCCTCCCTGGGCCCCGCCCCCACCTGCCGCTCCTTGCTGGCCGTGACCGTGAGATTGTCCCACACGCGTGGACATCAGACCTGGCCGATCCTGCTCCGCGTGTCCCGCCAGAGCCCTCACTGTGGCCATTGGGGTTGTGAGACCTGCGCCTGCCTCCCTCTCCCCTAGCTCCTGCTCGGCCACTCCACCCCTCACCACCCCCCAGGCCTGTGCCGGGCATCCTTTCCAAGGACCCCACTCGGTTACCCTGGCCAGAGCTTCCACCTCCCCGGCAGTGTGGACAAGGGGCCGGGTCGTCCTGGGCTCCCTAGGATTGGAGCAGCGTCCCTGCCCCGCTCCGTGCCAGCCACACCCACATTCTGCCCTGCCCTCGTGTCATGGCTGCCCACGCCTGTGGGCAGAGCCGTGTCACCTCCCGCCACGTCCCCGCTGTATCCCCCCGCCCCCGCGCCCAGAGCAAGCGCTCGAAAAGCCGGGCAGGCCGCGGGCCGTGGTCCCCTTCGAGGATCTTGGGGAAGACCCGCGCGGTGGCGACAGGTGCAGGTGCGCATGAACCCCGCGCCATTCCGTGGCCCCCGCGGACCCCGCACCCCACGCCCGTGGCCAAGACTGGGACAGCCCCGTGGCCCTTACCTTCCCACTCCAGCTCATTGCCGTTGCCCAGGAACTCGAGCGAGTCCATCTCGTCGGGGGTCTCAATGTTGTCCACGTTCATGTCCAGGTTGTCGGCGTGTCCAGGAAGTCGTTGGACAGCGGGGAGCCCTCGCTTTGGTCCAGCGAGATGCTGATCTCCGGGGCCACCAGGGTCTTGCATTTCTCTGGTAGGGTCGGTTGAAGTTCAGTGCACCGGGAGGGGCTGGGGAGAGGCCGACAGAACCTGTGGCCCCTCGCGCTCCCCCCACCCCACTGCCCTGCCTGGCAGAGGAGGCGGAGTGGCAGGGCCGGGGTGGGGCAGCCGTGGCCATCCCCTGGCGCCTGCGGGGCAGTGGGTGGGCACTGGCTGCAGCAGTGAAGGCTCCGCGGGTCCCGGCTCTGCATCCAGCCAGCCCCAGCTAGCCCCCATGCTTGCGCACCCTGGGCCCCTGCACCACCCCTGTGACTCCATGGAGCTCCTGGCTCCCGGCTTCAGCCTGGCCCAGCCCTGGCCGTCTGGTGTCTGGGGAGTGACCTAGCAGGCAGGGGTCTCTGTCTCTGACTTTGCCTGTCTCCCATTTAAATAAATACATAGAAAAATGTAAGAGGTGCGTCCTGGCAGAAAATGGTCAGGTCATCATTCTGTGCATGTGCTCAGCACTGTGGACTCAGGAGTGGCCTGGTAGGGAGGTTACCGTCCTGCCCGGAGGGCACCTGAGTCCCAGACATTGCCTGGCTGAGACAGGCAGGAGGCAGAGCCCCCCTCTCAGACGGGGCTCAGTGGGAAGTGGGATGGGCTTGGGGGGCTGTGTGTGTGTCACGCCAGCATCACTCCTCTCCTTGTAGGGGCCAAGGGAGGGCCCAGCAGTGACCCTGACACTGAGGGCTCATCCCTGCCTGGGAGGCACTGACCCCTCAGAGTGGCCATATGGCAGTGAGGACAGATTGGAGCCAGAAGGTCACCCCCAAGCCTCACACGAAAGGGACCCCCCTGAAAAGTAAAACCCAATGCATCTGCCCCCCCCCAGGCTTTGGAGTTATGTGTGGTGTGTGGGGGGGTGTTGCTTCCCTCTGCATGGAGCTGCCTGCCCAGGAGCAGTAACTCCGGTTTCTTGGTCCCTGGCTGGAGAGGAATTCTAGCCCAGGATAATCCAACCCGAGTCTTGCGCCCTTGATTCCGATGGGATTTGGGGGCCTGAACTTGATGCTGAGTGACTGCGGGCAGATGGTGCCTGTACACCTGCCCAGGGCAGGGGCTGCCATGGGCCCCCTCTTTGCGGCAGCCACACCCACATCATGAGGCTGGGGCAAGTCCTGAAGGGCAGCAGGGAGGGCTCCCCTGTGGGCATCGCCGTGGCCATCTGGGGACTGAACCAGCAGTGGGGGTTCCCTGTCTTGGCTGCTCAAATCTAATAAAGTCTTGAAAATGTTTTAAAGATTATTTGGGTGCAAAACGGCCTGCAGCCCACACACTTTCCCAGCAAGCACTGTCCTCGCCCTGCGGGGGGGGTGTTGTGGGGTGCGCGTGGGTGTGGAGGCCCAGGGAGAGGCCACCTGCAAGCCCTGCCCCGGGGGTTCGGGCCTTTCTCTCCTGGGCCCTCGGCTGATTAAAGGAAGCCCAGGCATGTTCTAAGTCCACGGATTTAAACATCCTTAAAGTTGTATTCATTCACTTACCTACCTTATCTTTCTGCAAGGCAGAGTGACAGAGGGGTCTTTCACACACTGGTTCACTCCAGTGCCTGTAGCCAGGGCTGGGCCAGGCTAAGGCCGGGAGCTTGGAGCTCCATCCGGGTCTCCTGTGCGGGTGGCAGGGGCACCGGCACTTGAACTGTCACCGCTGCCTCGCAGGGTGTGGACTGGCAGGGAGCTGGCAACAGCAGTGAGAGCCCGGCACTGGACCCAAGGGCTCCACTGTGGGACAGGGGAGCAGCCTGTGGGGTGGGGGCGTGGCCTGGGCCGGGGTCGTGGCCTATGGGTCAGGGGCATGGCCTGTGGGCTGGGGAGCGGCCTTTGGGCTGAGTGCCAGCCCCGTGTCATCTCTTTGACCCTTACAAGCTGACTTCCTGTGATTCGCAGCTGAGGAACGGGCAGAGGCACAGACAGGCTGAGTAACTGGCTCAAGCACACGCCCACGTCCCCGCGGACCCTCCCCCGCAGGCCCCAGAGCTGGGCAGCCCCCTTCCCTTCAGGGCCTCTGGGATCTGCTGGCCCAGTCCCGGCAGAGCCATGCCTGGCACGCGCAGAAACTTAAAGGCCATGTCCGCTGCCCCGCTGCGGAGCGACTCTGTCTCTGTGTTTTCGCGGAGCATGCACCCTCGGCTGGGGCCGGGCAGTGCCGCCGGAACGTCCAGCCAGAAGAGGGTGTGTGGCCAGGCGGGGTCCGGCAGAGGGGGTTCAGACAAAACAAGAACAGAGCACTTAGCATTGGGCCCGAGTGCCTCTCTGCTTGGGGCAGAGCACAGGGAGCCCGCGCACAGGCTGGGAGTCGCAAATGCGCCCAACCTTGGGAGCTTTGGCCCAGACAAAGCCAGGCTGCTCAGGCCCTTGGGAATCTAAGTGGAATCCTCTGCACTGGGCCTGCAGCCTTGGTTCTTGGAGTTTTGTGTTCTCTTTAGCTCATGCTCAGTGTGAGAGGCAGAGCTCGAATCCACTGGGTCACCCCCGGGTGCCTGGGAAGGCTGAAGGAGCCGAAGCTCAGAGTTCTGTGTGGGCTCCCCCGCGGGTGGCAGGGAGCCAGGGTGGGCATCGACTGGGAGCTGAGTCGGGGGATCCAGGGTGGGTGTCAGCTGGGAGCTGAGTCAGAGGGACCCAGGAAGCTGAGTCAGGGGGACCCAAGGTGGCGTCAGCTGGGAGCTGAGTCGGGGAGGACCCAGGGTGGGCGTCGGTCGGGAGCTGAGTCGGGGGGACCCAGGACTGGGACCTAGAATGCAGATGTCCTAGCAGGTGTTAGGGCCAGCACGGCGGTAGAGGAGGTTAAGCTGCCACCTGTCACACCACCAGTTCACATCCTGGCTGCTCCATTTCCATTCCAGGCCCCTTCTAATGTGCCTGGGAAGGCAATGGAGGACAGCTAAGTGCTGGGCTCTACCAGCCACATGGGAGACCCGAACAGAGCTCCCAGCTCCTGGCTTTGGCCTGGCCCAGCCCTGGCCATTGCCGCCACTTGGGGAATGAACCAGCAGATGGAAGACCTCTTTCCCTCTCTCTGCATAGCTGTGCCTTTCAAATAAATACACAAATCTTCAGGAGAAAAGAAAAGCAAGTGTCTTAACCGCTAAGCTGAGCACCCGCTGTCTCTGGGGTCTTGTCTGTCAAGAGCAGGGACAAGTGTGTCAGAGCTGCGTCATTGTCAGCCATGGGGTCCACAGCCAAGCCGCCAGATAAACACAGGAGATGGGGTGATGTCTGCGGGGAGTGGACGATGGCCCAACTTGGGCCCCTGCACCTGCATGGGGACCCATATGGAGCTCCTGGCTTCAGATCAGCACAGTTCCGGTCATTGCAGTCAATTGGGGAGTGAACCAGAGGATGGAATTGCTCTCTCTCTCTGTCTCTCTGTAACTCTGCCTTTCAAATAAATAAAATCTTTTAAAAATTAAATAAAATATAAAATCTGAAAAAAAAGAAAACTAATGCCTCTCACTTTGTTTTTGTTGCATATGATTGCTTTAGCTATTTGGAATCTCCTATATTTCCATATGATTTTCAGCATCGTTTTTTTCTACATCTGTGAAGAATGTCCTTGGTGTTTTGATTGGAATCACATTGAGACTATAAATTGCTTCTGGTAGTATGGACATTTTGATGATATTTCTTCTTCTAATTCATGAAAATGGACATTTTGAAATGTCTTCTTCTGTTACTTTAATATTTTGTAATTTTCATCAAAGAGATCTTTACATCATTGGTTAAATTTATTTCAAGGTATTGAATTCCTTTTGTAGCTTTTGTGAATGGGATTGTTCTCAAAAGTTCTTTCTCAGCCATGGCATTGTCTGTGTATTCAAAAGATGTTGACATTTCTATGTTGATCTTATATCTTGCCACTTTACCAAACTCTTTATTTGACAGGTAGAGTTATAGACAGTGAGAGAGAGACAGAGAGAAAGATCTTCTTTCCATTGATTCACTCTCCAAATGGTACTACGGCCAGAGCTGTACCAATCCAAAGCCAGGAGCCAGGTGCTTTTCCGGTCTCCCATGAGGGTGTAGGAGCTCAAGCACTTGGGCCATCCTCCACTGTCCTCCAGGGCCACAGCAAAGAGCTAGGGTGGAAAAGGAACAACTGAGACTAGAACTGGCATCCATAGTGAACGCCAGCACCACAGGCAGAGGATTAGCCAATGGTACCAGCATTCCAAACTCTTTTGTAAAAAAAGATTTATTCATTTATTTGAAAGTCAGAGTTACAAAGAGGTAGAGGTAGAGAGGAAGAGAAAGGTCTTTCATCCATTAGTTTATTCCCCAGATGGCTGCATGGCTAGAGCTATGCTGATCTGAAGTCAGGGCCAGGAGCCTCTTCCAAATCTCCCACACTGGTGCCGGGGCCCAAGGACTTGGGCCATCTTCTACTGCTTTTCTGGGACATAGCAGAGAGCTGGATCAGAAGTGGAGCAGCTAGGACTCAAACCAGTGCCCATATGGGATGGCAGCACTGCAGGCAGAGGCTTTAACCATTCTCCCACAGCACCTCCCCTATCCAATGCTTTTGTGAGTTCTAGTAGTCTCTCATTGGAATCTATTGTATCCCCTATATATAAAATCATCTGCATATAGGGATAGTTTCACTTCATCTTTCCAATTTGTATACATTTGATTTCATTTTCTTGCCTAATGGCTCTGGCTAAAAATTTCAAGACTATATTAAAGAGCAATGGTGTGAGTGGGCATCCTTGTCTGGTTCCAAGTCTTACTGAAATAATTCCAATTATTCTCCATTCAATAAGATGCTTCCTGTGGGTTTGTTACAAATTGTCTTGAATACGTTGAGGAATATTCCTTCTATACCCAATTTGCTTAAGGTTTTCATCTTGATTGGATGTTGTATTTTTTGTATGTTGTATTTATTTGGCTTCAATTTTGTTTATTTCTTCTTTAATAATTTTAATTATTTCTTTTCTCCTGCTAAGTTTGGGTTTGGTTTATTGTTGTCATTCTAGGTCCTTGTGATGCATTGATAGGTCATTATTTGTTGCCTTTCCAATTTCTTGCTGTAGGCACCAATTGCTCTAAATTTCTATGTTAACACTAATTTTGCTGTATCCCATAAGTTTTGGTATGTTGTATTGTTGTCTTCATTCATTCCCAGAGGTTTTTGTTGATTTCTGTTTTGATCTATTTTATTTACATTCAAAGCTTCTGTTGATAAATAAGGATTGACCCTCCCATTTTTCTAATCTAAATATTCATATTGTTTACTTTGAAATTTCTTTGTACTTTTACTGGGTGGTTTTCTACTTTCATATTCTTTCATAGTCCTATCATTTTGGGTTTCTGTTTGTAGCATCTTTTGTAGGCTGGATGAATGGTGAGAAATTCTTTCAGTTTCTCATGGTTATGGAAGGTCTTTGTTTCACCTACATTAATAAATGAGAGCTTTGCAAGATACAGTATTTTATGTTGATAGTTTCTTTCTCTTAAAATGTGGACTGTATTTTTAACAGTTCTTGTCTTAACTGTTGAAGAAAAGTTCTTTTTTTGTCATTCATACTATTTGTTGAACTCCTTACTTAACATAGAGCTAATCATATGCATACAAAGTTAACAGAAAATAGATCTTAGTAAAAACATAAAGGTGAGAATAGGGGAGGGAGGAGGAAAAGGGGTGGGAGAGTGGGTTAGAGGGCAGTACAGTGGGAAGAATAGCCATGTTTCTGAAGTTGTAATTATGAAATGTATGAAGCTCCTTTTCCTTAAATAAAAGGTTTCTGAAGAGGGGAGGAGAAGACGTGGAGTATACCTCACCATTCTCTCC